CCCAGTCCTACAAAAGGAAACAAAGTGAATGGATGCCTGCTGACGGGCTAATAACAGGCAGGAACAAAACCAGTAAATTCATCTGTGATGTGGTCAGGCCTGTAGTGACAGTGAGAAAATCAGGTCAGGCACGGTGGCTCAGTCTATGATCCCAGCACTCAGGAGGCTGAGGCAGGGGCTTTGAATTGAAGGCCACCTACTGCTACATAGAGTTCCAGGCCTTAGGAGAAAATGGATACACTCACCATGGTCAAGAAAGAGAGGAGTGGGTGGGTGGTGGCTTGGAAGGCAAAAGGACCTGGTGATCCAAGTTTAATCCCTGAGATCCACATGGTCGAAGGAAAGAACTGTTTTCAATAAAGTTGTTCTTTGACCTCCACAGTGTGCACGCGCGCATGCACACACACACACCTGTACATACATAAAATAAACAAAAAGGGTTTTTTTTTTAAAAAAAAATCTTTTAAAAAAGATAACGGGGGGGGGGGGTTGAATCTAAGTATGGTAGTGCAAGCTTGTAATCCCAGCACTTGGAGGCCGGGTGACCATGAGGACCTGAGTCCCCAGTGCATCTGTGATCCCAGCATGGGTGGGGCAGCGACAGGCAGATCTCGGGCTCACTGGCCAGCCAGGTGAACCAAAATGGCAGGCTGCAGCTTCAGTGAGAAACCCTGCCTCAAAAAATGAAGTGGTGAGCAATGGAAGACATTGATCTTTGACCTCTACACATGCACACATGGGCAGGTGCACCTGCACAAATGTGCACACACACACACACCACATATGCACAGAACAAAAAAGTCAATTCTTTGAGTGCTGCTGTAAACAGAGCTACTTGCCACGCGGTTTCTGTGTCATAGACACTACAAAAATGTGAAAGAAATATTAAGGAGAGAGTCACTCGGCTGCTCGTAACTGTTGGCACGAAGGAATGTAGACCTACTTTGACAAGAGAAATAGGAATCTGTGTTTTTAATAAAAATGTGTATTTTCTACTTGGAAAGTACTCCTACTGAGCAACTGTAGCAATAGCCAAACTCCTATGAGTCAGGGGGATGCTTCTGCAGGCTAGATTTGGGGTGCAAGTCCGCAAAAGACGTTGTTTTAGGAGCGTTTGGAGAGAAGGCAGAAGGATTCAGTCTTGGACATGAAACAGGTTGCAGAGTCTAAGGGGAGAGAAAGCAAGGGGGGGCATGGTGGCTCACATCTGTAATTCTAACTCTTGGGCATCTGAGCCAAGAAACAGCAACCACCAGGGGCTGGGCATACCGGATCCGGGTTTGGTTCCCAGCATCCACGTGGCAGCTAGCATTTATTTGTAACTTCAGTTCCAGAGGATCTGCTGCCCTCCTCTGGCCTCCACAGGCACTGCACAGATGTGCTGCCCAAAACAGATGCAAGCAAAACACCCATACACATGAAATGAAATAAATGAGGGCTGGAGAGATAGCTCAGAGGTTAAAAGCACTGGCTGCTCTTCCAGAGGTCCTGAGTTCAATTCCCAGCAACCACATGGTGGCTCACAACCACCTGTAATGAGATCTGGTGCCCTCTTCTGACGTGCAGGCAGAACACTGCATACACCGGGCGGTGGTGACGCACGCCTTTAATCCCAGCACTCGGGAGGCAGAGGCAGGCGGATCTCTGTGAGTTCGAGACCAGCTCTGGTCTACAGAGCTAGTTCCAGGACAGCCTCCAAAGCCACAGAGAAACCCTGTCTCGAAAAACCAGAACACTGCATACATAATGTATAAATATGTAAATAAATAAATAGATACACCTGAAGAAAGGGACCAAGCTAGTTTACATGAAGAAAGAAAGAGCATTTGCATGTAGCAAGGACTGTTGTTTGCCATGTTGCACCTGTCTCAGGTTCCCCCTAGGTGGCCAGGCCCGATGGAGGCAGGAGTGCATGGGTTTGGTCTCCTGTTCTGTGTGCTGGGGCTCTGCCACACAAGAGCAAACAGAGTTTGACTGTGTGTGTTTGTCATGGGGCCCCATCACTTAAGCCACTCTAGCCTAGAATTCATGGTTTGCAGCCCCACAACTGCTTTTTTTTTTTTCTTAATACCCTCATGTTCTGTTCTTTGAGGCAGATGTGATGTACTCTTACCACTTGGGGCAAGGTCCTAAAAAAAGGCAACAACAACCCACAACTCCAGAGTTCAAATTTGGGGTCAGTTTTTCCCCAAGTTAACATTAACCTTTAGGTAAACGGAGCCACTCCTGTACAAGGGCTTGGTAAAGAGGCGCATTGTTGAAGGCCTGGGGAGTGGAACTGGTCGTTCTTGTGAGGAAGGGAGCAGCCCAAGGCCAAGACTTGATGTTCCCCTGTTCTCTTGAACGGTGCCAAGTTCACTGGGGACGTTGACTCATATGACCAGCCGAGGTTTTCTCGGTCGTTTGTCCTGAGGGTAACCGTGTTTTCCAAGAGTGAAGGAATAAGCACAACCCTTGGGCCAGTTCTGTCCTCCCCAGGGATGGTGGTGGGCATTTACTCAGGAGATGTATTTGAAAATCCTTGGCAAAGTCACAGCAATATGTCGCACAGCAGGTCATGGTGAAATTATTCATAGGTGGCCTTCATAGTCAGAGTTTTACCTGTCACCGCCAGGTTAGGGTCAGGCAAAGTGAAAGGGTGCTGTGGTGTCAAAGACATGGTTGTGGGCTTACAAGTGTTGCCTAGAACTAGCGAGTTTGGATGGAAAAGGGAGAGATGATTCCTAGGAGATCCAGGGGCCCTGGTGAGACTGCTATAATTGCCTATTGCTGAAGATAGTTAGCTGAAATTGTTAAAATTCCCTTGGGATGTAACATGGTGAACACACACACACACACACACACACACACACGCACACATACAAAACCAGGAGCTACATAACCTTCTGAGCCATTTCATCCCTGAATAATGCCTTTTGTTTTGAAGACAGAGTCTCGTTGTCCAGGCTGGCCTCTACTAACTTCACTGAGGATGATCTTGAACTCCTGACCCTCCTGCAGCCACCTGCCAAGTGCTAGGAATTGCAGGCTCAAGAATCAACTTCAAAAGCTGGGTGTAAGCCTGGCGGTGGTGGTGCACGCCTTTAATCCCAGCACTCGGGAGGCAGAGGCAGGCGGATCTTTGTGAGTTCGAGACCAGTCTGGTCTACAGAGCTAGTTCCAGGATAGGCTCCAAAGCTACAGAGAAACCCTGTCTCGAAAAACCAAAAAAACAAAAAAAAAAACAAACAAACAAAAACAAAACAAAACAAAAAAAAAAGCTGGGTGTGGGGGTACACACCTGTAACTCCAGCCTTTGGGGAAATGAGAAAGAAGAATTGCCATGAGTTGCAGGCCAGCCTGGGCTACATAGTGAGATTCTGTCTCAAACAAACAGACAAACAAGAGACAAAATAATCCTCAAAGAAGTAAAAGACCCTCTGTACATGAAATTGTGTTTTTTGTTTTTCTTCTTTAGGAGATGGGGCTCAAGGATCCTCCTGCCTCAGATTCTGTAGTAGCCTAGACCCTAGCCACCACTCCCAGTTTGACACAATGTGTTTTAAGATAGAGCTAGTTCCAGGACAGGCTCCAAAATCACAGAGAAACCCTGTCTCGAAAAACCAAAAAAAAAAAAAGATATTTAGATAACATCAAAATTGGAAGCAACTTATTTATTTGTCCAATAGTAAGGGAAGGGTTGGTTTACTTTAGGCACATTCCTTCTATAGAATGCTTCATAGCCATTAAAAGCCAGGAATATGCTGGCCATTAAGATGACTCAGCAGGTTAAGTGTGTGTCACCAAAAGCCTGACTACCTACCTGAGTTTGAATCCAAACTCATGTCTAGAGACATGCAAATTTTGCCAACATAAATGGGCCTTTGCCTTTATGGTGTGACATTAAATGGGCAGAAAGAAACCATAAAAATAGCTAATATAATGTCAGAATAATTACAATTTAAGAATTAAAGAGAATTCATAGCCAAGGCAAAGTTGCTTTGTTAGAATAGGCAAGCCGCAGGTGATGTCTACCCTCCTTTTTTTGTTGGTTGTTTTTGTTTGTTTGTTTGTTTGTTTTCTAAAACAGGGTTTCTCTGTGTAGCCCTGACTGTCCTGAAACTTACTCCGTAGACCAGGCTGCCCTTGAACTCACAGACACCTGCCTACCTCCTCCCGAGTTCTGGGATTAAGGACGTGTGCCACCATCACCCAGCTGCCCTCTTTTTTTTTTTTTTTTTTTTTTTTTTTGATTTTTCGAGACAGGGTTTCTCCGTAGCTTTTGGTTCCTGTCCTGGAACTAGCTCTTGTAGACCAGGCTGGCCTCGAACTCCCAGAGATCCGCCTGCCTCTGCCTCCCGAGTGCTGGGATTAAAGGCGTGCACCACCACTGCCCGGCTGCCCTCTCATTTTTAAGGTCGTCTTTAACATGATTGCACTAATAATCTGAATGATAATAATCTTTTTTCCCTTTTTAATCCAAATAATAGAACAGGTAGCAAGTGTGTGTGAACAGAACAGGTAGCAAGGAGCAAAAGGCCTGTGGCCATCAAAGGAGGAGGGCTGGGGTGATGAGGGTGGTGGGGGGAGGAAGAGAGAAAGTGGGAGTAGTTAATGGCCATAGGAGTCTTACCTATGAGGGTGTAATCTGAATGGGGCCCAAAGACCTGGCTTAGGTAGAGGGTGGACTAAGTGCGTTCCTAAAGAGCTGTGGAGGCTGAACACTGGATATATTTTAATATATATTCGGGGGCTGGAGAGATGTCTCAGCAGTTCAGAGCAGGTACTAGTTTTCCAGAAGCCCTGAGTTCCGTTCCAGCTCCGTACCCACATCCATGGATTTACAGCCACCTATGTGCCCTACCTAATTCATGCCTGCGTCCTGCTGTGTGGAAGACTGAACGTAGCCTGGCAACGGTCAACAGACTCAGCCCGCCTCCAGTGCACCCTCGGGACTCAATACCCTTAGCTAGGAAAACTTGAGGCTTAGTTCTGAGGCTGTCTCCAGACACACGCTTTAATAATAAGATTGTTTACCAGCTGGTACCGTGCAGAGCGGCTCAGCCTCTCTCCGAAAACCCCAGATGGCCAAAACCAAGGCCGCAGTTAGCTAAGTGAGTCCCCAAGGTCAGAGCCCTTGGCAAAGGTGGGATTGGCGTGCACCAAGAGCTTAGCAGGAGAGGGCTGCAGCTTTTATAAACTACTGTCCGTTGTCTGGGAACCCTGATGAGCAGGGGAGGAGGGCCCCCTGCAGGTGGAACCACGCAACTTCTGTTCGCTCTGCCCTCTCTCCAGGGAGGGCTGGTGTTTCCCCAGAGCCTCCTCCAGGGCTAGGAAGATGCCACAGTGCCTGACTTCGGAAAGTGAGGAAGGGGGCGAAGAGAGGGAGGAAAGTAGTAGTTCTACAGAAGATCTAGAAGAGCTAAAAGAACTCGTCACCCTGGCTTTTGTGAGAGAGAACACACAAAAGAGGCTTCAGAATGCCCAGCAGCATGGCAAGAAGAAGAGGAAGAGAAAAAGGTTAGTATCAGAAAACGAGGAGGCAGGGTGGGGCGCGGGGGGAGGGGGAGGGGGACGGGGTCAGCGTTGATAAGAACAGGAAGGACCAGAGGGAAGAGGGCCTTGGTGGCCGAGAGGAGAAGGAGACTCCACGGGCTTGGCTTGTCAAGATCACACTGCTTTCAGTTGACATAAAGAAGCCACACTCAGTGTGCTCTGTTTTATGGAATCTCATAATAGCGTGTATAACCTGGAGTCACAACTTGTTCTAGTGTTCGCGCTATTTGTGTGGAAGTGCTTTTTAAAGACTGGGTGGGGAGGGAGCTCCTTGCTGAAGGAGTGTAAGCACAGCGCGAGCGCAGGTCCTGGGAATTTGACATACTTCCAGGGAAACAGGAGCACGGTGACTTCCAGCCCCGGCTGCAGCTTGTCCACTCTGGTTCTGGGTTCACACTCGGCTGTGCTTCTCTCCTTTTTAAATAGCTTCCCTTAGTGGGGAGAGAAGAAGGAGACAATATTTTAGCCAAAATGTGTGATTTTTAAAATCCCTGTCCCTGTTGAGCTGATGGTGTAAAAGCAGAGGGACCCTGGGAATGTAGCTTGGAGTCAAAGACTGTTTACCTTTTGGCTGGGAGGGCCTGGGTTCAAATTCCACTGCTGACAAAATTAAAAAGGGGGTGGGGGCAGTGATGCTAACATGAAGCCGAAAGCAAAATTAACCCTAATTGTAATTCATAGACAGTAACAGAATGATAAGTATATACAAATAATAACAGAATAGATAAGTGATAACGGAACCACAAGTCCACGGTTCCTGCCACTCTGCACCCCTTTGTACCCCCATCCTCAGTGATGGGATGGGTAGGCCCTGCGGGCTCCCTGTGGCAGCTGGGACATGTGTGTCTGGTTCCAGCCCTGTGTTCTGGTCAGGGGATCTGTCTCTGTCTTGCTGTTTGCTTTTTTCTCTTTTCCAGATGATTGGTGATCAATCTATCCAACTGCCGGTATGACAGTGGTGAGCATCTGTGTTCACGTGATCCAGGCTGGGGACCGAAGGGTGGGAATGGGTCACCCCTGTGTGTTCCCCGAGGGTGAAGAACTGGGCCTCAAATCCTTGGTTCTCCTGGCTCCACAGACTGTTAGAGGAAACTGGGAAATCTCATTCTAAGGGTCGCAGGTTTGGGCCACAGTGGCGTGCATCACCTATAGTCGTAATTTATGGATGGATGGATGTATTTGTGACAGGGTTTCACTAGGTAGCTCAGGCTAGCCCGAGACTCATCGTGTTTTCTCCCCCACTAGTTTATCTCACTGATTAAGCCTGGCTCTAGATTATGGCTAAGGGTAGCTCTACATTCAGGGTTTAGTGTTTGGAGGCAAGCCAGAGGCCTGCTTCCTGGGAAAGGGAAGCCAGGCTAGGCCTGACATCCATCCCATACAGCCCAGGATATTACCACTGTTACACCCTTTCCCTGCCCTGCCCACGAGGCAAGATGGCTTCCGGTCCCCAGGAGCCAGCTCTCTTGTTGCTGTACTCGGTCTGGGAGCCCATGGAGCCCATGCCTGCTTCTGTGACCCGCAGCCCTTTCTTCCTTTAACACCTTCACAGTGCGCAGGGCTGCCCAGCAGTATGGCCTTCGAGAGGCCCGTGACAGTGAGGACTGGACTCTCTACTGGACCGACTACTCGGTGTCGCTCGAGCGCGTGATGGAAATGAAGAGTTACCAGGTGCGTTCCTCCCTGGATGGGTGGCGTCTAGCCAAAGCTCACCCCATTTTGATCACAGCCCTCCTGCAACCCCGCTTCCACGCAACCAGAACTGCTCGTAAATTCCGGCTTCCTTTGCAGAAAATCAATCATTTTCCTGGCATGAGTGAGATCTGTCGCAAGGACTTGCTGGCCCGGAATATGAGTCGTATGCTAAAGCTATTTCCTAAGGACTTCCACTTCTTCCCTAGGACCTGGTGTCTTCCTGCTGAGTAAGTCCCCACTACTTGTTACTTCTGTCTCTTCTCCGCTTCCCTTTGTTCTCTTTGCCCTGATTCCCTGGCTGCCACTCTCTCTTCCCATATTACCTTCTATATTTCTTCCTACTGAGAGAAAAAGGTAAAGGGTGTGTCCAAGGCTGAGAAAACACAGGCTCTGCCTGTAAAATAAAATACGATTAGCGGCTGAGTGCCCTGGAGGTTGGACCCACAGTTAGGATGAAAGTTTGTTCTGACCTTGAAAGCTGTTGGATTTGAACTTATTCCAACCACTTCCTTGTGCAGTTTCTGAATTTCTAAGGAGAAAGTGAGGTTGTGGTTGGGTCCTAGAACAGGAGCCTAGCCTGACCCATTTGACGGTATGAACAACCACCAACCCTTCCTTCCACCAGAATGTGCAGTTCTCTAGATCAGTGGTTCTCAACCTTCCTAATGCTACGACCCTTTAATACAATTTCTCATGTTGTAGTGACCTCAACCATAAACTTGTTTTTGTTGCTACTTCATAACTGTAATTTTGCTGCGGTTATGAATCAGATTGTAAATACCTGTGTTTTCCGCTGGTCTTAGGTAACCCCCGAGAAAGGGTCATGCAATCCACAGGTTGAGAACCCTGCTCTAGATCCTTCCCTAAGTAACAAGAAAAAAAAAAACCTGGGGTACAATGAGGCCTCGTGAAAGGGTGGTGGTGGTAAAGAAATGTCACCTTCAGAATTACATTCAAACGGACTGGAGAGTTGAGTCGGCAACCAAGAGCACTTGTTGGCTCTTGCAGAGGACCCAGGTTTCGGCCCCAGCATCCACACGGTGCATATACATACTTCTAGGCAAAACTCACACGTAAAATCTAAGAAGATGTTTTGTTTTTGGTTTTTTTTTTTTTTTTTTTTTTTGGTTTTTCGAGACAGGGTTTCTCTATGGTTTTGGAGCCTGTCCTGGAACTAGCTCTTGTAGACCAGGCTGGTCTCGAACTCACAGAGATCCGCCTGCCTCTGCCTCCCGAGTGCTGGGATTATAAGAAGATGTTTTAAAAAGAATTGCATTCACAGAGCACAGGATCCCATCCTCTCCTAGCCACCAGTCTTTCCTAAGCTAAGAGCCCTGGGGCTTGAAGACTCTTTAGAACGCATCTGAACAGTCTTCTGGGCTCAGCATCCACTTCAAAGGAAGTGTGTTTACCATTCTGACTGCAGGAGCCTCCAGATTTCACAGCCATTGTGGACACTGTAGTTCGCTGACTTCCTCAATGGACAGATGAGCCTGGCAGTGGTGGCGCACGCCTGTAATCCCAGCACTCGGGAGGCAGAGGCAGGCGGATCTCTGTGAGTTTGAGACCAGCCAGGTCTACAAGAGCTAGTTCCAGGACAGGCTTCAAAGCCACAGAGAAACCCTGTCTCGAAAAACAAAACAAACAAACAAAAAAAACAACAACAAAAATGGACAGATAATTCCTTTGAGATAAAGCACAAAACATGTGCATAGCAAGACTGAGACCCATATAATCCGTTAATTCAGTTTCTTTCCTTTTCATCCATCTTTGTTTATTAAATTTCATTTTTTATTTCTTTTGGTTTTTTGAGACAGGCTTTCTCTATGTAAGAGTTCCGCTGTTGTCCTGTCCTGGAACTCAATAGACCAGGCTGGCTTTGAACTCAGAGATCTGCCTGCCTCTGTCTCCTAAGTGCTGAGATGAAAGGCATGTAACACCATCACCCGGCCCACCTTTATTTTTTGAGAAAAGACCTCAGTATATAGCCGAGGCTAGCCCAATCTCAGCCTGCCTGTTTCGCCTCCTAAAGGTCAAAAGTACAGGTACATACCACCATATCACTTTTAAAAAAAACACATTATTTTTATTTGATATACATTGGTGTTTTGCCTGCATGTATGTCTGTGTGAGGGTGTCAGATCTTGAAGTTACAGACAGTTGTGAGCTGCCATATGGGCGCTGAAAATTGAACCTGGGACCCATGGAAAAACAGTCAGTGCTCTTAACCACTGAGTCATCTCTCCAACCCACATATCACCATATCACTTGCTTGCTTGCTTGCTTGCTTCCTTCCTTCCTTTCTCTCTTTCCTTCCTCCCTTCTTCCTTCCTTTCTTTCTTTCTGTTCAGCCTCCATGTATGCCTGCACACCAGAAGAGGGCACCAGATCTCATTACAGATGGCTGTGGGCCACCATGTGGTTGCTGGGAATTGAACTCAGGACCTTTGGAAGAGCAGCCAGTGCTCTTAACCTCTGAGCCATCTCTCCAGCACCGCCCCCCCCCACCCCTCACAGACCTTGGTTTTGTTTTGTTTTGAGACTGGTTTTCTCTGTGTAGTCCTGGCTGTCCTGGAACTTGCTCTGTAGACCAGGCTAGCCTCAAACTCACAGAGATCCTCCTGCCTCTGCCTCCCATGTGCTAGGATTAAAGGTGAGCGCCACCACAACCTGGCTGACCATGTCACCTTTAATTTAGTTTCTTTCTTTCTTCTGAGTACACTTTTTTTTTTCTTTTTTGAGACATGGCATCATGTAACCCAGGCTGGCTTTGAATTTGCTATGTAAATAAGGAGGTTCTGGAGCTGCTTGCTAATCCTTTGCCTCCACCGCCTGAGTGCTGGTATCACAGCTGTGTGCTATTCTACCCAGTCTGTATGGTTGTGGAGGCTGAACACGGAGCTTCGTGCATGCTAGGCGAGCACTCTATCCGCTGACCTCCACCGCCAGCCTTAAACATACTTTCTTCAGACTACATTCAAGGGTGTGATTTGCCTTCCTGGCCTCCTGGCTTCAGTGGAGGCATCACAGTGAGACACTGAAGTCCAGACAGGAGGAAGCGACATTTGTCCAAGTCACACTTTTGTAAGCCGGATGCAAAACTCCAAATCTCCTATGCATAAGCCCAAGTCAAGCTACCTGGAGTACCTCACATCACCCAGGCCAATTTCTGTCATGTAACTAAGGAACACATGAGACAGGTCCACATTCACAAGGTGGAGATGATGGAGATGAAGAAACGAAACCAGTAAAGGATTACACAGCTGGGATGTGGTGTAGGCTGGGTTCGAATCCAGTGTCAGTTTTCCTTAAAGCTCGGTGTCTCCCACTGCTGGACTACTGTGTGTCTGTCTGTCAACACCAGGGCTTTGTCCCATCCGTAGCTTCTCTCTTCTGTTTTTATAGTCTCCTGGGGCTAGAAAAAGGGCTCAGCAGTTAAGAGCACTTACTGGTCTTCCAGAGGACCAAGGTTCGATTCCCAGTATCCACAGGTATGGTGCCTCACAGTTGCCTGGGACTCCAGTCCCAGGGGACCTAACACACTCTTCTGGCCCCCTCAGGCACCGGACACACAGACACAGGGCCCAGACAGACATGTAGACAAAACACCCATACACATAAAAAGAATGAATATAAATAGTTTTCCTTCGCCTTGCTCCTGAGCTAACCGTGTGTCTTGTCCCCTCCCTGCTATGGCAGCTGGGGAGATTTGCAGACTTACAGCAGGTCAAGAAAAAATAAGACATATATTTGCAAACCGGACTCGGGCTGCCAAGGGAGAGGCATATTCATCACCCGGACGGTGAAAGAGATCAAGCCCGGGGAGGATATGATCTGTCAGCTTTATATTTCAAAGGTACTTCCTTGCCGCCGTTATGGATTTATTGCCCACAGCAGCTTCAGGCTCTGTGGGACAGAAAGCAGTGGAAGGCAGAGGCGGAGATGGAACTGAGTCTGCCTCGTGCCTTGGATTTGCTCAGAGCCAAGCCTTCTGGGGTCACCATGTCCCTCGCTCGCCCTGGCAGTCTCTACCACTGATGTAGCCTCCCCAGGATGACCTCCCCCTCGAGTGGATGAAAGCATGGAGTGGGGGGGATGTCTCCGCCTCACTTGAGAGAGGGGAGTCATCTGAAAGAGCTCATAGTCACCAGCTTTCCCCCCTGCTTGGGGCAGAGGGAGTCACGGACCACAGTGATATAGCCACTGCAGACAGGGGTCCTTCTAGAAGTGTGGGTGAGAGGAGGAAGCGCTGGCTTCCCCAAGACAAAATGTCCAGGAGCCCCTTGATAGAAGAGCATCTGGAGAGATGGCTCAGAGGTTAAGAGCATTGCCTGCTCTTCCAAAGGTTCTGAGTTCAATTCCTGGCAACCACATGGTGGCTCACAACCATCTGTAATGAGGTCTGGTGCCCTCTTCTGGCCTGCAGACATACACACAGACAGAATATTGTATACATAATAATTAATTAAAAAAAGAAAAAGAGAAGAGCTCTAGAGCTCTTGGAGAAGGCACCTGTGATGTTGCCCTGGAAACCACAGGTCCTGTCTTGGAAGGATTTCTGAACTGCTCTGTTCAGTTGTTCAGCCATCTCCATCTCTTAGAGGGGGGCTGCTTGCACAGTGTGGTTTGGTAACCTCCCCAATGTCAGGACCCAGAGAGACTAAACCTCTTTATCCTGCTCCCACACTGGGCAGAGGTGGGAGCTAGCCGCCTTTACCTGTGACTGTCACCTCCAGATGCTTGCGTGACTTCTCTCCTCTCCCCCAGCCCTTCATCATCGACGGGTTCAAGTTTGACTTGCGGGTCTACGTGCTGGTGACCTCCTGTGACCCTCTCAGGGTTTTTGTGTACAATGAAGGACTGGCTCGCTTTGCCACTACCTCTTACTCCCACCCCAGCACAGACAACCTGGTGAGCTGAAGGGGACACTCTGCCTTCCCTTTTCCCTTGGCACGAGGGCATCCTCAGATACCACGGAGCTGGCAGACACCCCATGAACACTTGTTGTGTTCCAAGTTCCATAGGTTTCTCATTTAGTCCTCTCAGGAGCCCTCCAAGATAGGGGTTATTAGCCCTGTTTTACAGACGAGGTTCAAACCTGCAGGGTATAGGGGACTTGTCTGGGGTCACTCAGCTAGAAAGTGGGACGCATGGCCAGGCCTTCCTGACATCAGCACCAGAACTACAGTGTAGAGGTGCTCAAGGAGAGAAGGTCATGGGTGGTTTCCAACCTTCCTCTGGCTCCCTCAATCTCAGAAAGAGCTGGAATCTCTTGTACTCCAGGCTATGGGATATCCCTTTTTACCTCCTGTCCACCCCTTTACATATGCCTATAAATCCCTTCCCCCATCCCTTTAGGCTTCAGGGACGATGGGAGTGGGGTGGGGGACAGTGCATGGAGAGGACACAGGAGGCCCGTGCTTCAGCCTGACCCCCAGTCTTGTGTCTCTTTCCCCAGGATGAGATTTGCATGCACCTGACGAACTATTCCATCAACAAGCACAGTTCCAACTTTGTTCAAGACTCTCATTCTGGCAGCAAGAGGTAGGAGGGATGGATGCTTCACTCGGCTTTCCAGGGTTCTTCCCAAACCCACTCAGTCCCTGCCAGGATTTCCGCCTCGGGTCACACGATCTGGCAAAGCCGGCTTTGCCTCTCAGCTCAGAACAGACAGTTCATCTCATGTCAGAGCTCTGGGCTGTTAATCATTAAAAGAAGGCCATGCTGTAAACCCTGGGAGGCTGGGAGGAGGGAGATAAACCGAACGGTTTCCCCGGCAGAAAACATACACACACCGAAACATACCTTGTGACGGTTGCCCTCTTGATGTTTCCAGACCAACAGCCTTTAGGGATTGCTAGGCTGCCAAGTGAGAAGGACTTGGCAACTGTGATTCCTCGCTCTGTAGTTCCCTGGGGTGTTGGTCCATTAGAGATTCTCAACCCATGTGTCATGATGCCCTGGAGTCACCTGACCCGTGGCTAGCCAGCCTTCAGGTTGGGGAAATTAAGGGATTCCTGCGGGTTTGGGTTTCTTCCCCCCATAAGCAGCTTTTCTGCTCATGGTATTGCCTTAGCAGCTTGCGTTTGAGAGGAAGGTAGACCGAGTTGTATGAGCTTGGCTGGGCTGAGATGGGGAGGCCAAGGGAGCATCAGGGTGCCGGTGCAGGGGCCTGTGTGTTCGTTGTTGGGTTTTCACCACCACGCTGGCCAGGGCGACACCAGAGCGCTCAGGAACTTGGGTAGGGAGGTGTTAGGTCCCATCTCCAATTCCCAGATGAGGGAACTGAGTCACAGAGAGGTTAAGCGGCCCAAGGTCACGCCACTCAGCTCTGAGTGCTACAATTGCAGCTCTGTTCACTATGCCAACGTCATGGTGCCGGCAGGGAGGCATAGGGCATCTTAGTGTATGGGCTATGACTGGTAGAGCCTTCTTGGGAGGAGGATGTGTGTGTGTACGTGCGCACATGTGTGTTGCTTCTGGTTGAAGGTGATGATTTTTACCTCCTGATCGTCTTGCCTTCACTTCCCCAAGTGGTTTTGTTTGTTTGTTTATTTTTCGAGACAGGGTTTCTCTGTGCAGCTTTTCAGCCTGTCCTGGACCAGGCTGGCCTCGAACTCAGAGAGATCCCCCTGCCTCTGCCTCCCGAGTGCTGGGATTAAAGGTGTGCGCCACCACCACCGCCTGGTCCCCTAGTATTTTTGAGACAAGTCTTGATATGTAGTAACTAAGGCTGGTTAGAAGGCATTCTGTAGCCCAGGGTAGCCTCAAATTCCCAATCCTCCTGCCTCGAGGGCTGAGACTGCAGGTGCAACTTCAGCCATGTCCTCTTTTAGAGGGTGCCAGTGCCATGTCTGAAACTCTGTCACCACTTCTTCCCACCCAGTGTGGGTGCCATGGAGCCTCCTGTACTGATGTGTGTTCAGCATCCCTGGTGAGGCAGACCTGCCAGTCACCCCCACTTTGATCTTTATCTGCAGAGTTAGCCTAGACAAGTTTCTTTGTCTCCGAGCCCCCATCCCTGGGTTTTAAGATACAACCAATGAGATAACCTGCCCTGTCCTGCCCTCCTCATGGTGTCCCTGTGAGACTCAAGTGACCTGCGCTGCAGCCTAGAATTCTGGCACTACTAATTTTTGTAGTCGAAGAGACTTTATTAGCCTTCTTTTAATATTATTTCCAGGTGTTGTGGTGTGGTTGGCATATGGTGGTGCTGGGTCCTAGGACTCACGGGCTTTCTAGACTGAGGCAGGAGGATTATAAGTTTCAGGCTAGCTTATATGGGCTATATAGTAAGACCCTGGAGCTAGAGATAGAAACACACACATTTAACCCAGGGCCTCTCACATGCTACACAAGTGTTCTCGTATGGAGCCTCTCATACCGCCCAGCTTCTCCTCTCTCCCCCTCTGACTCTGCTCTTCTCTGGGTCAGCTCTCCTTTGGAGCAGTCACCTGCCCCCAGGGCTTCCACCCTGGCTTCTTCTGGCTCAGTTTCTCTCTCTCCCCTAGAGGCCCATCTCTCCTCAGCTCAGCCAGTGTGCCAGAGAGCCTGATTTTATAATAGAGCCACACCCACAACCCTTTCAACCACACACAGATTAATCCACTTAAGAGGGCAGAGGCCTTCCAAAGGTCAGATCTCCCAACAGTACGGCACTGGAGGCCCCGTTTCTAACGCCTGAACTTGGAGGGGCATATTCACCCCGTAATGCGCCCTGCTCTTCAGTGCGCTTCTCTTTTGCCCCTTACTCCTCCCCCCTTCCTTTCTCTTTTTCCCATCCCTTCTTCCTCCTTTCTCTTTCTCTTCTTGAAAGGCCTCCTCCCTCATGCTCTCTTGCCTCCTCAGAGTTAGTAACTGACGCAAACTGAGGCACTCCAGCCCCCCCCCCCCTTCTTCATGGGGTTCTAGGTCAGTGGGAGCAGGACTCCAGTCGGTTGGAGAGGAAAAGAGAAAACCTGTGAGCATGGAGGGACTCCGGCCAGACACCAGATATTGTCATCTTTTGGCGTGCCTGGCACAGACCTGGTGTTAAAGTGAACTGAGTCACCGCTGGGCGTCAGGAAATTGCCAGGCAGAGAATATTCATGGTGATGGGCCCTGAGTCATCAAGAAAAGGTTGTGTTGCGCTTTGTAACCCACGTAGTCTATTCCAGGGAAGTTTATTTGCCAATTAGGCAAATTGAATGTTTTTTTCTTACTAGAACGTCTTGGCTTTTCCAACAATATAGAAATTCCGTTTAAGCACAATGCTTCTACCTGACAAAGGAGGGGAGGGAAATGGCCTTTGTGTTGAGAGCCTTTGCTTATCTGTCCTTACACAAATAAATCTTGGGTGTTTCCCGTGTGTTGACTTGTGGTCCTCAGGTTTCCTAGGACAGAAGTGGCAGTTGCACAGACCTTCACTTGCACGGTCCCTTAACATCAGCTCCGTGGCTGGCAGGCCTGCTCCTTCCTTTCTGGCCTTAACTGGCCCTCACTGCAGTCCAGTGAGATGACTTTTAAAAATATATATATATTTTTTTGCCAGGCAGTGGTGATGCACACCTTTAATCCCAGCCCTTAGGAGGCAGAGGCAAGTGAATGTCTGAGTTCTAGGCAAGCCTGGTCTACAAAGCGAGTTCCAGGACAGCCAGAGCTGTTTCACAGCGAAACCCTGTGTCATTTAAAAAACCAACACTGAAACCCAAAACTTTTAGCTGGGTCTGATGACTCACATTTTTAATCCCAGTATTTATGAGGCGGAGGCAGGTGAATCTCTGGGTTTGAGGCTAGCCTGGTCTACAGAGTGAGATGTAGGATGGCCAACACTACTTAGAAAAACCCTGTCTTGAAAAACAAAGAAACAAATTTTTAATTACATTTATTTATTGGGGGGGTGCTATGATGGGGAGAATGCCATGGTGCCACAGTGTGAGGACAGAGGACAGTCTATAGGAATCAGCTCTCTCCTTCCACCATGTGGATGCTGAGACCAAACTCTGGCTGTGAGCCTTGGCAGCTGCCTCTCTCTATGGCCGGGTGACCAGGCACCGCAGGCCACCAGAGATGGAGAGGTTTCCGGGACCTGGACTTTGTGTTTAAATTGGGGACAGTACAGATTGCCTGGGACAGGTAGTGACTCTAGGTATGGAAACGCCTTGGGGCTGCTCTTGTCTGTAGGCAGTCCTAAAGCGGGATTTTGTTTTCAGTGATCCCATAATCTCCTCAGAGGACGGAAGTGTGACCAAGGTGGTCAGTGTCCTTCAAAGGCCCCCACGTGTTTCTTTCTTTCTTCTTTTCTAAACAGGGTTTCTCTGTGTAACCCTAGCTGTCCTGGAACTCGCTCTGTAGACCAGGCTGGCCTTGAACTCAGAGATCCGCCTGCCTCTGCCTCCCGAGTGCTGGGATTAAAGGCGTGCGCCACCATCGCCCGGCTTTTTTTTTTTTTTTAAAGAATGGTCCCAGGCTGTGTATCTGCCTGCCCTGAGGTTCTGGATACCCGAGGAGTCTGCCGCTGTGACTCCTCCAGGGCCCCTCCCATTTGGATCCAGCCTCAGTATTGCTCTGGATTCTGGGTGGTCTTCAGCCCTGCACCTGGAGCCTTCATCTCCAGAAGTTTCTGGATTTCACCATGCTATGCATGGTGTCGCTGACCGGGAGTAACTCTCCTGCCTGCCTGATGCCCTGTACGTCCTTCTCAGGAAACTCTCCACCTTCAACTTGTACATGAAGACCCACGGCTATGACGTCGAGCAGATATGGAGGGCCATTGAGGATGTCATCATCAAAACACTCATCGCAGCTTACCCCGTCATCAAGCACAACTACCACACCTGCTTCCCTAGCCACACGCTCAACAGTGCCTGCTTTGAAATCCTGGGCTTTGACATCTTGTTGGACCGCAAACTCAAACCCTGGCTGCTGGAGGTAAGGAAGTTAGGGGTGTGAGCTGTCCCCGTTCCTGGGGTACCTCAGCTCTGGGGACTCTGTCTTCCAGGCTCACTTGTCTTGTTTCGATCAATCCTACCCTTCCTTTCCCTGGTGCTCGCTATTCCTGGGGTGTGACGCGTAGCTTGAGAAGTGGCCACCAGAGGGGGGTAGACGGCTGGAAATTAGAGGATTCCCTGTGCCTTCTTGAGGTCCAGCCAGCTTTACAACTGCCTCCAGTCTCAGGCCCAGAGTGACTGCAACGACCACTCTGCTTCCTGTGTTCCCCACAAAGAGGCTGTTCCTTCTCAGCGTTGCCTCCTGGCTCTCGCGGACCTGAGCAACCCAGTTCCAGACACCGGTCCAGGGGATTCGACCCCATGCAAGAGTGGAAAGAGGCAGAGATTTCTGAGCAGCTTCACTTCCTGACTAGATTGGTCTGCTGGAACCTTAAGCAGCCATTCAACATGCATGAGGAACAAGGATACGGAGTTGTAGCTGGAATACCAGGGGCTATGACCTCCCTTACACTAAACCCTTATTCTCAGGTTCATGAAGGGGGCACTGTTTGGAGCTCCCACCCTAGAGAGAGAACAAGCGGCAGCAGCGAGCCTCCAGAAGCTGCTGGAAACCCACAAATGTAACACAAATGTAAATGAGCAATATTGACTATTTGTGGGCGGGAACTAGACTTCTGGCTTTCTTCCGCTGTCTCTTTTTTTCTAGAGTGAATCACTCTGCTTCCAAACTGAGAGTAGGCCTCTGTATTTCTCATGCTCTCTCCCTCCCTCTCTCTCTTTACAGTTTTTTTAAAATTGTATTTATTTTTAATTTATGTGCACTAGTGTTTTGCCTGCATATATGTCTGAGGATGCTGGATCCCTTAGAATTAGAGTTACAGACAGGCGTGAGCTGCCATGTGGGTGCTGGGAATTGAATCTGGGTCTTCTGGAAGAGCAGCCCATGCTCTTAACCACTGAGCCATCTCTCCAGCCTCCCTCCCTTCCTTCCTCCCTTCCTTCCTTCCTTCCTTCCTTCCTTCCTTCCTTCCTCATCATGTAGCCTTGTTTGACCTGGAACTCACTTTGTAGGCCAGACTGGTCTCAGAGATCCACCTGCCTCTGCCTTCCTAGTGCAGGGATTAAATAAAGCATGTGCCACTTCCTCTGGTGTTCTTTCCTCTTTTTCTTTTCCTCTCCCCTCCTCTTCCACAACCCCCTTTTCTTTTTGCTTTTTGAGACAGAGTTTCTCTATGTAGCCCTGTCTGTTCTAGAACTAGCTCTGTAGATCAGGCTGGTCTCAAACTCAGAGATCCATCCACCTCTGTTTCCCAAGTGCTGGGATTATGGTGTGCACAACCACTGCTGGGCTCACTTCTCTCTTCTTCCCTTCCCCATTCCTTCCTTCCCTTCCTTATTCCTCCCGACCTTTCTTCTCTCCTACCTTTTGTTTGTATTTGCTTGTTTATTTGAAATAGGGTGCCGTTTCAGAGCACAAGTTATTCTGGAACTTAATGCATTGCCTAGTTTGGCCCCAAACTGGTGACAGTTCTCTTGCCTCAGCCTCCTGAGGGGGCTTACAGGCATCAGCCACTTATTGTCTCAGTCCTGCCTGGTTAATCCCGTCACTGCAGGCCTCTTCCTCCCATCCTGGGCTGTGGAGAGCACAAGCGGGAGGACACACACTCGTGTGGCCGAGGACCTGCCGAGCGGGAACTCTGCTTCCAGAGGAGACGGCACTGAATAAAGAGCAGGTGACTACAGTAGTGCGGCCTTTAATCCCAGTCCTCAGGCAGCTGAGGCAGGCGCATCTCTGTTCCAGGTCGGCCTGGCCTACATACTGAGTTCCAGGCCAGCTAAGGCAATAGAGAGAGACTCTGTTTCAAAAACAAACAAACAAAATCCCACCTGCTTACACTAGAGGAAATTCTACTTCCTGCTCTCCCTGCTCTCTTCCCAAGGGCTCCAGTGTAGACCTCTCTCAGCTCCCTGACAATCACAGCTAGGACCATGAGGCAGGCCCTGAAGGTGGCATCTTGGCCTCACCTCCGCTTTCACACTAGTCTGCCTCATCCCCAAATGCTGTTTTGTCGTCACAGGTCAACCATTCTCCAAGCTTCTCCACTGACTCCAAGCTGGATAAAGAGGTGAAAGACAGTCTCCTCTATGATGCATTGGTCCTCATCAACCTGGGGAACTGTGACAAAAAGAAAGTCTTGGAGGAAGAGAGACAGCGGGGACGGTTCCTGCAGCAGTGCCCGTCTCGGGAGATCAGGTATGGCAGTGCCCCATCCCCAGGCAGCCTTCTCTTTCTGCCCTACCCTCAGTGAGGCTGACTTCTCTTTCTGCCCTGCCTCAGTGAGGCTGGCTTCTCTTTCTGCCCTGCCTCAGTGAGGCTGGCTTCTCTTTCTGCCCTGCCTCAGTGAGGCTGGCTTCTCTTTCTGCCCTGCCCTCAGTGAGGCTGGCTGTGCTGTTCCCAGCTGTAACTAAGGTCTACCAATTCTGTGGCCTTCCTGTCTCTTCCTTAAGCTTTGGGGCTCTTTCAGTGAAGTGGGACTGCATTTACATGAGCTAGTAGGGGACTTAATGCCATCATGATATGAAGCTTTACCACAGTGCCTAGCACCACAGTTTGTTAGAAGTTAAGGTTCTAGACTGTTGGGGCAGTGAGATGCTGTCAGCTGGATGACCTGAATTCCAGCCCTAGAGTCCATGTGACGGAAGGAGAGGACCAGCTCCCCCAAGTTGTCCTTTGACCTCCGTGTGCCCTCTGTGGCATGTATACATATATGCATACGTATGTACTAAATAAATACATATTTTTAAAAGAGCCCTAATTGTATCCTATTGTGGAAGCACTTGAATAGTAAGCCTAAGGTACCGGTCTCAAGCTCATGGCATTACCTATAGTAGGCAAACAGCAAACCCTCAATCATTGAGCTACATTCTCTGGCCTTGCTGTTGTGACGGTCTTCTTGTTTTATTTTTGAGACAGGGTCTCTGCTGTAGTCTTTAACACATGCACGTGTGTATGCGTGTGTTTGTGTGTGTGGTATGCACATGTGCAGAGGCCACAGAAGGCCATCAGGTATCTTATTCTGTGTATCTCTATCTCATTCCTTTGAGACAGGCTCCCTTCCTGACTCTGGAGCTAGACTGCTGTTCAGCAAGCCCAGAGATCCTCCTCTCTCCACCTACTTCTGCATCAGGGTTTTAGGCTGGTTGTGCGCATGCGCATGCTTATGTCCGCTCAGCCACGCATGCTCAGCCACGCCCAGCTTTTTATGAGACTGTTGGGCTCTGACCAAGGATCCTCAAGCTAGCAAACCATCTCTTCAGCCAGTCCTTGGTTTTTATCTTTTGGAGTTTTGTTTACTCTTTTGATGCATTCTTCATGTGTTCTTGTTTTGTTTTTTGAGGTAGCATCAAAGGTACTTCAGGCTCCCACAGAATTTGCAATCCTCCTGCCCCAGCTTCAAAAGTGCTGACTGTAATCCCTTCAAAAGGGATTACAGATGTGTATCACCATGCCCAATAGAGTGGATCATTGCTAACAAATGGGAATCCTGTATGGAAAGCTGCTTTAAGGTGGAGAATTTAGCAACCTGGACAGTTCTGTTAAGACTGTGTGTCTTTGTTCCTGGAAACTGGAGGTTAAAATGAACACATATAATTATATGAAATAAATTGATTAGTATCATGTGTGGAGTTAGACATTACCAGTATAAGAAACCAAAGAATTCTTGTTTTTGTTGGAAAGCAAGCTTTGTCAACTCGGCCTGTCGTGTGCTGACAGGAGTTGCTTTGGCCTCTCCTGGGCAACATTTGCACTAGAAGCAGGGTCTTCTTCCTTCAGAGAGATTCTGCCCCCAGAAGGCCCCGAGCCCGCGCAAGGTGGTGCCTGATTGCTTTTCAGTTTGCACCACCCCTTCTCAGAGCCTAGGACGGTACATCGTGTGTCTGCTCATGGCCACTTTATCATGTGATTCCTGCTCTACGTGCCGGGTGGAAAGGAGGTAGAGTGTAGTGCTGTGTGGTTCTGTCCAAGGAACCAAGGACACCACGATTCCCATCAGGAGACTGTCATGGGGAGATTCGACTGGCTGGTGACAGCTCTAATTAGATCCAGAGTCCAGGGTCCCTGCTGCGGGGGACCCCAGAAGGCCTTGTACTGTGCTGCTGTCTCTGATGCCCTCAGGAAGAAGGTGTCAGCTGGCACACCGAAGTCCTCCTTTGTGTTACTTGGCTGGAAAGCTCAGTGGTTTTTGACATCGCTGCAGTGTAGGAAGCTTCTCTACCTGAGCTCCTCCTGGGGGTGGGGTGAGGATGCTTCAGAGCATCCTGGCTCACAAAGGCTCATTAAGTCCATCTCAGAAGTCCTCCCATTTAGCAAAACACAAGCTGCTGTTCTCCAGAGAAGGGCAATGGGGGCCGGGAATGGGAAGGTGGTCACAGTCTGCCTGGTCTGATTGTGCCAAGGGGGAGGTGGATGAGACTTGGGTGGAATTGTCAGGCCTTGCATGCGCCTCCCTGGAGCAGTGTGACACCGGCTGTCCCGGGAGTCCTAGAACCCCTGGTCCCAAACATTCTTGCTTTTATTTGGCAAATCCTGATCGACCACTGTTACATGCAGGGCCCTAGATGGCACCCAGCTTGGACATGACCCTTCCAAGAAGACACAAGGGCAGCCCTGCATTCACTTTCCCAACAGGATGGAAGAGGTCAAGGGTTTCCAGGCAGTGCGGTTACAGAAAACCGAGGAATACGAAAAGAAAAACTGTGGCGGGTTCCGGCTCATCTACCCGGGTGTGAATTTGGAGAAGTATGAGAAGTTCTTCCAGGACAATAGCTCCCTCTTCCAGAATACTGTTGCTTCCCGAGCCCGAGAGCTGTATGCCCGGTAGGAAGACTTCCGCTCAGGCTGAGGTGGGCTGGGGATTGTAGCGACCACCTGTGGCCCAGGTGGTAGGGAGAACTTCTGGGTCTCAGTTCCCAACCTTGCAGTGACAGAAGAGCATTCGGTCCGGGTCTCATAAAGACCAGGAACTGGAAGATTCCACAGTGCAGTGAGTGGACAGATGCTCCGCCCCACTGCTCAGAAGTGTGTTATGTGTTCAGGCTTTATGAAATCCGAGAGCTCGAAGGGAACCATCTGATTAGGTCCACTTCCCACCAAGTTCCCCATTGATGAGAGGGGATGCCAGAGCAGAGAGTAGGTCACAGAACAAGATGACAGCGGAGGATTACCCTGTTTCCTGACTCCTGAGACCAGGTGATGTGCCCTGGTGTACCATCTTTCGTCCAGTCCCAGGATTCACTGGCCAGAGAGCCCAGCATATGAAGTGGCTCAACATGGGAGCCCCTGGGCCTTAGTCCTCCTACCCAAATCCTCTTTCCAGGGAAGGGGGAAGTAAATGTCCCCCTTTCTGTGCGATCTTCCTTGAAAGGGTGCTATTCCCTAGTCTGGGGGTGGTTGGAAGGATGGTTCTTTATTCCCTAGTCAGGAGAAAATCAGAAGGATGGCTCCTTCTTACCCAACGCCATTCTTGGCCTTCAGTCACTTGTGCAGGAACCTGTTTCTCCCTCCCATCTATTTCATTTTACTTTGTGTCTGTGGGTGTTTTGTGCATGTACGTCTGTGCGGTATGTGCATTCAGTGTTTGCAGAATCCCCTGGAGCTGGAGTTACAGATAGTAGTGAGCTGCCATGTGGGTGCTAGGATTTGAACCAGGGTCCTATAGAAGAACAACAGGTGCTCTTAACCACTGAGCCATCTCTTTAGCCCCTCTCCACTCTGTCCATGATACTCACCTGCTCTTCAATCAACAGGCAACTGATCCAGGAGCTGAAGCAGAAACAGGAAAAAAAATCATTCCTAAAGAAAGAAAAGAAGACAGAGATGCCGGGCGAGTCTGTGGGTGAGCAGGCAAGAGACAGGATCCTGAAAACCGGGCAACAGAGACAGCAGCAGAAGTGCAAGACAGCCATCCATCCCCCCAAACAAGTAAACTCAGATGAGGGGGGTGTGTGTCTAACCAGCACCCTGCCCCAGCTTGGGCCGATCCGTGGGAGGGTACCACGGAGACCTCTGCTCCGAGCACAGACTCACTGACGGGCTGCCCTAAGGGCTGAACTACAAAGAAGGGATCTAGAAGGCACACAGACCTGGCGTCTGTTAGAGGATCCCTCCATCCTGACAGTAGAGAATGCTCACAGGTCTGTCTGTCCTTTCTGCCTCTGGAAGTAAGAGCAGCCTCGCTGTGCTGGGACCTGACCTGAGCCCCGTAGGGAGTGTGCTCCACTGCCCTCATCTCCAACCTGGCTGGGAATGGCCCTCGGGCAGGCTCCTGAGGAGGGCTGCTGGGAGACGTAGTCCTCAGAATACTTCCTGGGGATGCCTGAAAAGGGGCTTCCTGCCTGCTTGCTCTCTGCACAAGGTGGCCCAGCCCTTGGTGAGCTGCCTCATTGTCCTGGGAGCTAAGTCTGTGGCTTCTATTTCCTCCACCTCCGGTTCTTAGTGAAAAGACGTGAATGACTTTCTATACATCTCCGTATCATTCTTGGGTTTTGTTTTTTGTGGGGTTTTGTTTGTTTGTTTGTTTGCTTGTTTAAGGTGGGGGTCTCATGTAGCACAGGCTGACCCCAAACTTGTTCTGTTGCACAAAATAATGTAGAACTGATTCTCCGGCCTCCACCTCCTAAGTGCTGGGATTACAGGCGTGAGGCACAAGGCCTGGTTAGTAAAGTGCTGGAGACCAAACCAGGGCCTCACATACCCTGGGCTGCTAACTGAGCACTAGAATGCCAGCCCCCTCTGTCTAATCTTTTGGTTTTTTTTTTTTTTTTTTTTTTCAAAATGTCTCAGTCTCACTGGCTGGCCTGGAACTCACTCAGTAGACCATGCTATAACTTGTGGTGATCCTCCTGCTCCCGCTAGTGGAGCGCTGGGATTACAGGAGTGTGCCACCATCCCTAACTGTCTCCTTAGTCTTGAAGACTTGCCTGGAAGGACAGGACTAGAGCTGGCTTGGGGTTTTCAACTTTGTTGGGTCACAGACTCTTTAGGAATCTGGTGAAAGCTGTGGAGTACCTTCCATCAAGTACACACTGTACTGTTTGAAATCTCAGTTTCAAGTTGCTAATGACTCGCTCCCCAATCCAGCCACAGGCTTTTGTAAGGGTTCCGGAACCCCGGGCTAAGAGTTCCAGACTAGAAAGTCTCTGGTGCATCCTGTTTCCTTTCTCTTCACCTCTTTTGCACCTTCCCTGGGGTGCAGATGAGTCTGATGGTGGTCCCCACGGGCTGTGTGTCTGGTTTCCTCCTTCCCAGAGCTACCACCCAGTGGCTTTAGTATCCTGCACACCTGGCCTGTTCTTGAACATCAGAGGCATAAGGAAAACTGAAACTGCCGGTAGCCTCCACCAGACGGACTCCAAGAAGGAGGCCACCCTCACTCCCTGCAAGCCCATGTCAGCGAGGCATTACAGTTCTGTCCCTGACCTGAGGAGTTCAAATCCCACCAGCTCTGGGACAGAGCTCCGTAAATGCAATTCCACAATCAAGGAAGTGAAGTCGGCCAATTCAGTGAATATAGTCAGCAGTGGCCTGGTAAGTCAAGGGCCGCGCTGAGGGGTAGAGGGGCTTTCCCTGTCCCTCACTTGGAGCTCTTTGAGTACCCACTGTGTCTACTGGAGTCACAGTTTCCCTGGTTGTGGAACTGACACAGTAGGACGGCATTGCCTGCTGGAGGGTAAGCCTGGAATGGCTTTGAGGAAGACTTTTCCCCACCTGCTTTCTAAAGGCAGGTTCCCCCTTCATGCTCCTTTTCTTCATGGGGGTAGGGTGGGGGTGTCAAAAATCTAGGTGCTGTCAGCACTGTGTGCCGGGCGGTGGTGGCACACGCTTTTAATCCCAGCACTCAGGAGGCAGAGGCAGGTGAATCTCTGTGAGTTCCAGGCCAGCCTGGTCTACAAGAGCTGGTTCCAGGATATGTTCCAAAGCTACAGAGAAACCCTGTCTCGGAAAACCAAAAAAAGAAAGAAAGAGCCCTATCTCAAAAGCAACAACAAAAATCAAAAATTTAGACTCAAATCACTTAAACAAAGAATGTGCCTTGGGGTTCCATGACCTTGGGTTTGGCAGAAATTGTTGAGGATAGCAGCAAAACAACAATAAAGAGAGTAAAAAGTTGACCTACAGGGCTGGAGAGATGGCTCAGTGGTTAAGAGCACATGGCAGCTCACAACTGTCTGTAGCTCCAGTTTCAGGGGGTCTGATGCCCTCACACAGACAACACAAGCAGGCAAAACACCAATGGACACAAAATAAAAATAAATGATAAAGTTATTGTATGCTAATGGAACAATGCTTGGGTTATCCTAGAACCAACTTTTTTTTTTTTTTGAGACACTCTATATAGCTCTTGCTGTCCTGGAACTCACTATGCAGACCAGCTTGAATTTATAGAGATCTGGCTGCCTCTGCCTCCTGAGTGTTGGGATTAAAGGCATGTGCCACCATACCCTGCCCAGAGCCAACTTTAGGATTAATTTTTAAAAATTGTGTGGATATGTGTATGTGTGTGTTTGCATGTGCATCATGTGTGCCACCACATGTGTGCCAGGTGTTCACAGTGACCAGAAGAGGTTATCAGATCTTGTGGAACTGGAGCAGCCAGTGCTCTTAACCACTGGGCCTCCTCTCCTGTCACCACCCGGGACCATTTCCGCCCTTTCTTTCTAGAGGAGCTAGAAGGGAGTCCTCCGCCTCCTGTAATCTCATTCCAGGCTGTTTTCTCTTTCAGCCTTTAACACCTGTAGAAACTTCCCCAGAACCCACAGCCCAGCTCTCAACCTCTCTGGAATCCCTGGCCAGCCTGAGCTTGACCTCCAGCCCTGAGTGCAGCAGTTCGGAGAGTGTCCAAACGGTCTCCTGGAAGGGCAAGCAGCAGAGGGCCCCCCAGAAGCTGGTCCAGGAGAAAAAATCCAAACCTCCCATGTCTTCCAAACTCAGGAGTTTGGACATGAGTTTGACCCTGATCAAGAACGAAGTGAGGCGGCAGCACCTGATGTCGGAGATTCTGCAGAAGGTTCAGATGAAGAAGAGGCGCTCCTTGTTCCCGGCCCCCAAGTCACGTGAGTGCTGGAGCGTGCTGACAAAACGACTCCTGTCATTAGCTTCTGGAGAGAATATAGTTTGTAGGCTCATGGCTTTTGAGGTCTGCGTTGGTGATGGGGCAGACATTGCTTTAGGGTCTTGGATGTGAGAGTGTTTGGACAGCAATGGTGGGGAGCGGAAGGGGAATGAAGCTCACCTATGGCTAGCCACTGTAGGTTCCGTTTTCCCTTAGGAACATCGGGTGACTAAACCTTAACTCTAGCATCAGGGCCAGGTCTGGTGGGGCATGCCTGAAATATCAGAATCAGAATCGGGGTTGAGACAAGAGGACCATGAGTCTGCAGCCAGCCTGAGCTACACAAGACACTTTCTCAAAGAGATAAATAATGGCCAGCACCCGTGCTGGACGGCTTAGAACTGTCTGTGTAGCTCCAGCGCCAGGATAGCCAAAGCCCTCTTCTGGCCTCCTTGAGTACCTGTACCCAAGTGGTTCTCATATAGACGTGTGGGTATATACACATCATAAAAACAAATAAAATTTATTTTAATTAATTTTATTCTTTGGTTTTATGTGTATGGGTGTTTTGTCTACATATATATCTGCATACCACGTTTGTACCAGATGCCTTTGGGGGCCAGTGGGGACCAGAAGAGGGAGTTGGATTCCCTGGGATTGGCCTGACAGACAATTACAAGCCACTCTATGGGTGCTAGGATTTGAACCTGGGTTCTCTGGAAGAGTAGCCAGTGTCTCACCTGTTAGGCTATAGCTCTAGCCTCAACAATTTTTAATTTTTTAATTTTTTTTTTTTTGGCGGGGATGACAGGGTTTTTCTGTGTAGCCTTGGCTGTCCTGTCTGTAGAACAGGTTGACTTCAAACTCACAGAGATCCTCCTGCCTCTGCCTCTCTAGTGCTGGGATTAAAGGCCTGTGCTACCACTGCCTGACATTAAAATTTTTAGAAAAATAAATAAAAATTAGCAGGATTGGTGAGATGGCTCAGCAGATGAAAGGGTGCTTGCCACACCACCCTGGTGACCCGAATTTGATCACTGGAACCTACATAAAGGTGGGTGGGAAGAACTGGTTCCACAAAATTATTCTCTGACCCCCACTTGTATATTGTAGCATGCTAACCCGTGCATATGTCCACATACACAACAATAATAAAGTATTTTCAATTATAAAACTAAAGGTTAGAGAAATGGCTTAACAGTGAAGATCACTGGCTATTTTTGACACACCCACAAGGCTGCTCACAACTGTCTATAACTCCATCCTAGGGCATCTGATGCCCTCTTTTGGCCTCTGTGGGCATCAGGCACACATCAGGTGCACAGACAGACATACAGGCAAAACACCCATATACATAAAATATAAAAAAATTACTAAAAACAATCACAAAACTAGCAATGGCAAATTCAAACTAGTGCAACATTAGAGAGAAAGGAACCTGTTGAAAGAAGCCCCAGGTTTGGGGATTCCCGGAGCAAGAGAAGGGTTAGATCCTTCCTGATGATGGAGACATGGCCCATACTCTTTCTTTTATAATTTTTTAAAAATTATTTATTGGGGGGCTGGAGAGATGGCTCAGTGGTTAAGAGCATTGCCTGCTCTTCCAAAGGTCCTGAGTTCAATTCCCAGCAACCACATGGTGGTTCACAACCATCTGTAAAGAGGTCTGGTGCCCTCTTCTGGCCTTCAGGCATACACACAGACAGAATATTGTATACATAATAAATAAATAAATATTTTAAAAAATTATTTATTGGGGGCTGGAGAGATGGCTCAGTGGTTAAGAGCATTGCCCACCCTTCCAAAGGTCCTGAGTTCAGTTCCCGGCAACCACATGGTGGCTCACAACCATCTGTAATGAGGTCTGGTGCCCTCTTCTGGCCTGCAGACATACACACAGACAGAATATTGTATATATAATAAATAAATATTTTTTAAAATTATTTATTTAATGTGCACTGGTGTTTTGCCTGCATATATGTCTGGGTGAGGGTGTCAGATCCTCTGGAACTGGAGTTATAGACAATTCTGAATTGCCATATGGGTCCCCTGGAAGAGCAGCCAGTGCTCTTAACCACTGAGCCATCCCTCCAGCCCCTGACCCATTCACTTTATTAAAGAGTCTCTATCCCCATTGAACCAAAGAGTTAATAGAGTGCTGGCTGATAGTCAATATTCCCAGCTCTTGTTCACATGAGACCCATGGTCTGTGCCAATCTTGGGCCACAGAAACTATGTGAAGGAAGGAGCAATGGCTGACTATGATTCCATTGGGAGCCTTCGCCAGGAGATTGTGCTAACTATAGCAGCACAAGCTGATGATGCCAATGACTTTACCTTTCCAGAAAACCTGTCCTTGCCCAAGGAGTGGTGCTCCCACAGCCACAGCTCTGGCAGGAAGAGAGAGATGGATGTGCCCTCCGTCCTCCTCCTGCAGGGTTCTCACAGCCATGCCAAATCTCTGAATGACCTTCTGGTAGTTGCCACTCAGGCCCGGCTGGACCCTCGGCCTAGCAGAAGCCATTCAGGTACTACAAGGGACCCAGGTACGACAAGGGACCCAGGTACGACAAGGGACCCAGGTACGACAAGGGACCCAGGTACTACAAGGGACCCAGGTACGACAAGGGACCCAGGTACTACAAGGGACCCAGGTACTACAAGGGACCCGCGCACACAGGGCCCGCAGCACACTGCCACTGCCTGACTCTGGTCAGAAAGGATGTGAGAGCTCAGGTAGGTGCCTCCCCTTCTTCCCTGGATAGGTTGGCACGCTGTCCGCTCTTCTCTTGATCTTTCTGGAGTGTTGAGTATGCAGGAGGGTGGATGGATTGATGGAGACCTGTAGATTCTCCTCAAAAGATGACCCTGGCTTGGCCTATTTCTATAGTGCTGACCGCCCCCACCACGAAGTGCACTTTAGATCGCTGTTGTCAGATAAGGCTGGCCCCATAATGAGAAGGGAAGGGACAGAATGACAGGAACCTGGTGTTTCCACTGTGTGGAAGGGTCAGGGAGACCGTAAGGAGTGCTCTTTCAAAGCCTAGGTGTCTCTGAAGGAACGTCATATACAAAAATCCATGAGAAGAGGCTAGCACTGCTCAGTCACCCTCATTCCTGCCGCGGAAATGAAATTGTTACCAGATATGCTGCCCTGACCCCCTGGGCGTCGCCTGGGTGTTTGTGAAAACACATGTTCTAGAGCCAATGAGCTGGCTCAGCCCATAAAGCATCTGCTGCCAAGTCTGAAGGCCCGAGTTCGATCCCTGGTACTCACATAGCAGAAGGCGAGCACTGGTTCCTGCCAGTTATCCTCTGCCCTCCACAAATGTGACCCCCCCCACAGTGATGTAATGAAATTTTTAGTGCATATTTCAGCTCAGATAACGGCTTGTGCCTGTGCTCCCTGCCTCGTGGTGCTGAGGCATGGGGAGCAGCAGCTCTATGAGCAAGCAAGGGATAGACGCCACAAGACCCCGTAAAATGAATTTTAAAACGCAGCGAGGGAACCAGGAGTTGAGTGTATAGGCTTGTAATCCCAGCACTTGGAAAGCAAGAGGCAGGAGGATCACCACAAGTTCAAAGCTAGCTTGGTTTACAGAACAAATTTCAGACCAGCCAGGGCTACAGAGTGAGACCCTGTTCCAAAGAAAACCAGGCCTAGTGGTTCACAGTGTGATCCACGCTCCAGGGAAGCACCGAAGATGGGGAGTTAAAGAAATCCAAGGACAGGGGCTGGAGAGATGGCTCAGAGGTTAAGAGCACTGACTGCTCTTCCAGGGGTCCTGAGTTCAATTCCCAGCAACCACATGGTGGCTCACAGCCATCTATAATGAGATCTGGTGCCCTCTTCTGGCCTGCAGGCATAGAGGCTGAACACAGTGTACATAATAAATAAATTAAAAAAAAAAAAAGAAATCTAAGGATATTAAGACCAGTCTAGGCTGTGGTAGACCCTGACTCAAAAAAAAAAAAAAAGAAGATTCCAGCAAGGCTCCAAAGCCACAGAGAAACCCTGTCTCGAAAAACAAAAAAAAAAAAACAAACAAACAAACAAAAAAAAAACAAAAAAAAAAAAAGAAGAAGAAGAAGAGGAAAACGGGAAGTCACAGATTCCACTAAAAGCTCTTTTTTTTTTTTTTTTTTTTTTGGTTTTTCAAGACAGGGTTTCTCTGTGGCTTTGGAGCCTGTCCTGGAACTAGCTCTGTAGACCAGGCTGGTCTCGAACTCACAGAGATCCGCCTGCCTCTGCCTCCCAAGTGCTGGGATTAAAGGCATGCGCCACCACCGCCCGGCTCCACTAAAAGCTTTTATCCATATTCAGGCCCAGGAAGGGGGCCTCTGGGTACAGGTTCTTGCCCACAGGCCTGAGGCTCCAGTTGAATCACCAGATCCCACAAGCTGACAGGAGAATGGCTTCAGGAAGCTGTCCTTTGACCTCTACATATGTGCCATGGCATGAACACACATAAACACACGCACAAAATAAATACAAGTTTAAAAAAAATTGGTGTTTTGAGACAACCCTGGATGTCTTGAACTTATTCTGTAGACCAGGCTCGCCTCAAACTCACAGAGATCCACCTGCCTCCGCCTCCTGAGTGCTGGGATTAAAGACGTGTGCCACCACTACCTGGCCCCCCAAAATTTTTTTTAAAAGTTTATTTTTGTTATTTACAACTTTTAGGGCTAGAGAGATAGCTCAGTGGTTAAGAGCACTGGCTAGGCCAGTTGGTGGTGGCACACGCCTTTAATCCCAGCACTCAGGTGGCAGAGGCAGGAGGATCTCTTGTAAGTTTGAGGACAGCCTGTTTTACAGAGCAAATTCCATGACAGGCTTCAAAGCTACACAGAAAAACCCTGTCTTGAAAAACCAAAGGAGAAAGGAAGAAAGAAAGAAAGAAAGAAAGAGAGAAAAGAAAGAAAGAAAGAGAAAAGAGCATTGAGTGGAAGGTTAAGAACCCTGGCTGCTGCTCTTCCAGAGGCCCTGAGTTCAACTCCCCGCAACCACATGGTGGTGGCTCACAACCATTGATAATAAGATCTGGTGTCCTCTTCTGGTGAGCAGGGATACACACATACATAATAAATTTAAAAACTGAATGAATAAATAAATCTTTAAAAAAAATCTTCTAGTCTTTATTTTTATTTTATGTGTGGGTGTGTTTTGCCTGCATATATGTCTATACACCATGTTCATGCAGCACCCTTGAGTCACTGTGTGGATGCTGGGAACTGAACTCGGGTCTGCAGAAAGAATAGCCAGGGCTCTTAACTGGTAAACCATCTCTTGCAGTCCCTTTTTATTAATTTTAATTATGTGTATGTGTCGGCATGTGGATTTGTACATGTGAGTACTTGTGCCCAGAATGGCCAGCGGCATTGCATCCCCTGGGTTGGAGCTAAAGTTATGTGGGTACTGGAAACCAAGCTTCAGTCCTCTGGAAAAGCAATGAGTACTCTTAACCACTAAGTTATCTTTCTAGCCAAAGAAAAGTTTTATTTAATAAGTCTGTCAATGTGAATTAATAGGGGTTGGAGATGTAGCTCTGATGTAGAATACTTGCCTAGAATGCACAACGACTCAAGTTCTGTCCCCAGTGCCACAGAAAATAATGACAAAAACAATAGTAAAAATCAGAACACACACATAGACAGAGAGAAAGAGAGGGTTTGTATAGGGACAGCCTGAGGTGTGGTGTGGAGGCTGGGGCAGACAAATCATCTCCGGGGTAAGATGGTCTAGGATACAGAGTGAAGCTTTTTCTCAAACAAACAAGACAATTAAGAACAATACAAGAAAAATCATGGAGAGAGGGTGTGGCAGAGTACTTCCTGCACTGACTCTTGGATAGAACTGAACCCACAGAAAAGGCTAAACATAGCTTTGCTCTTTCTTCCCCTAACCAGACTGTTGATCCCCTCAGAGCACAAACTGTCTCCACATTTGACCAGAGTGGTCCTTTCGTCAGCTCTTCTTTCTGCCTATCTAAAGATTTTATTCTGATTCTCTTTAAAGATTTATGTATTTAAGCCAGATGTGGTGGTGTGCTCCTTTAATCCCAGCCCTCGGAAAGGCGGAGGCCGGTGGATCGCTGTGAGTTCCAGGCTACCTAGGGCTATGTAAAGATTTATGTATTCTTTTAATGTGTATGAGTGTTTTGCCTGCATTTATGTATGTGTACCATGTGGATGTCTGGTACTCATGGAGGCATCAGATCCCCTGGAACTGGAGTTACAGATGGTTGTGAGCTGCCCTGATGCTGGGAATGGAACAAGAACAACAGAGGTGAGCGCTCGCAACCTCTGAGCATCTCTTCAGCCCCCTGTCTTTATTTTTACCTATGTATGTATGTATGTATCTGGGTGGGGTCTGCGCACGTGAGGGCAGTACTCTCAGGGCCCCGGGGACCATTTCCGGTGCCCTGTAGCTAGCGTTACAGGTACAGTGTGGGTGCTGGGAACCAAACTCACGGCCTCCCAAAGAGCAGCACTTGGTCTTGGCTGCTGGCTGCTGAACAACCCATCTATTCCCTATTCCTTCCTTTCCTCTTTTTCTTCTCTCCTCCTCCTCTCCTCAGTCTAGCCTAGTTCTTGGGAGCCTCCTGCCTCAGCCTTTCACGTGCCTGGATTATCGTGTGAGCCACACTTCCTGCTTTGAGTCAAATATTTCTGATGCCCAAGTCCCAAGATCTCTACCACCCACCTTTCAAATATCTGTTCCGTTATTATTCTTGAGTCAGAACTGAGGGTGTAACCAATGGCTCTCCAGTGAAGGCATTTCTGCAGGAGGCTGGGAGAGCACAGGTTGAGAGGGCTCTGAGAATATTAGGGGTGACCAGATGGCAGATCTGGCCCTCTGCTTTCAGGACAAATAATGGATTCTAACAATTGTCCCTGAAGTCAGCAGACCACGACAACTGATAGATAAGTAAGCAAGCTCACAAAAGATGAGCTGTATTCAGCAGAATGCCTAACTCTCAGGTGTGGACTAAGAAACCCGAGAGCCCTGTAAGAAAAGGGCTTTCGTGTGATAAACGGTGGTTGGGTGAGGGGAGGAGCAGCGCAGGGGGCCACGTGGTGGATCAGGGCTTTGTTCCGTAAATGTAATAACAGTTTACTTTCCAAATAGCAGATTCGCAAACTATAGCTCCTGGAATCCCCATGGCAGTACTGAGGTTGGCAAGGCAGGTGTTATTTGAGCCAGAGTTTGTAGGTAAAGAAAGTCAAGGTTTGCCCAACTTTACTCGAGCAATGGACTCAGGACAGATAGACAGCATCTCTTCCCCTTTACTGTGCCGCTGTGAGCTTAAAGCCTGTCTGCAGACGTCACCACAGGCCCATCGTCCTTCCCTGGATGCACAGATAGAAGGAATGGGTTGGTCACTGAGCCAGATGTGGATCTGGGTAGAGATTATGATCACGGGGTTAGAGAGCCCAGTTAATAAGGTCGCAAGGATGATTGAGGTGGCCTCGGCGGTGGTGATCATCGTGACTGTGGTTATCTGCTCTTGCTCGGCTTGGACAAAGGCGTTATTTTTGCTGTTGGAAACGCTGCGCTCAGTCCTCTCAGATGTGTCTTTGTCAAATGGGGAGACTGAGGCAGAGAGGCTAAGTAACTACTGTCCGAAAGCATGCTGCCACTGCCTCCTTTTTCCTCCCCTTTTAAAAAAAGCATTATTATTTCAAGAAATTGTTTGGGACAAAGTCACACTAGTTTCAAGCTCCCCGTCCTCCTATCTCTGTTCTTCAAATGCTGGGGTTACAAATCTGTGCCCTGACATCCAGTTCTTGGCACACAGCTTCTTTGTTTTTAGTTTTCTTTTCTTTTTGGTTTTTCTTTTTAAATTTATTTCTTTTTACTTTATGTGCATTGGTGTTTTGTTTGTATGTATGTTTGTGAGAAGGTGTCAGATCTTGGGGTTACAGACAGTTGTGAGCTGGCATGTGGGTGCTGGGAATTGGATCCGGATCCTCTGAAAGACCAACTAGTACTCTTAGCCACTGAGCTATCTCTCCAACCCCTTCTTTTCGGGTTTTCAAGACAGGATTTCTTTGTATAGTTCCGGTTGTTCTAGAACTACCTCTGTAAACCAGGCTGGCCTCAAACTCACAGAGATCTGCATGCCTCTGCCTCCCGAGTGCTGGGATTAAAGGTGTGAGTTACTACCACCCTGCCATGTTTTTTTATTAAAACATTTTTTCATACAATATATTTTGATCATGTTTCTCCTCCCTCAACTCCTTCCTCATCTTCTGAACCTCTCTTGCCACCCAATTTTGTTCTTTCTCTTTCTCACCGCCCCCCCAAAAAAACCCAAAAAACCAACCAGCCAGGTGGTAGTGGTGCATTCCTTTAATCCCAGCACTCAGGAGGCAGAGGCAGGGGGGAATCTCTGTGAGTTCGAGGTCAGCCTGGTTTACAGAGTGAGTTCCAGGACAGGCTCCAAAGCTACAGAGAAACCCTGTCTCAAAAAACCAAACCAAACCAACAACAACAAAAAGCACCAAAACAAACAAACAAACAAACAAACCCTACAAAAATGAAAATCAAAACAGGGAAAAGACCAATAAGACAAGAGTGCCAAAACAAAACAAAATGAAACAAAAAATCCAAAAAACACCACTGAGTTTGTTTTATATTGACCAAACTGCCTCTGAGCATTGGGCCTGCCCTGGCATATGGCTGATAAATCCAGTGAGACTGCATTGGAGAAAACCGATTTCCCCTTTTCCAGCAGGCACAAACTGCAGGCAGCTTCTTGGTTAGGGAGGGGCCCTGTGTGCCCTTGTCCCTATTAGGTGTGCAGCTTTTAACCAGTACTGTACGCTGTCTGCAGTCGGCCGTCTTACCACTTTTGACGATCCGTATCAAATGTCCAGGTGGTCAGGCTGTAGGTGACGCGGGTGGTAGCTCCTGGTGCACTGGGATGTGACTCCTGAGCACTTCCTGATTCACTAGGTAGAAGTGATGACAATGACTTTAGGGCTGAATATGGCCTAAGTGGCAGAGCACTTGCCCTGCTTCATCCTCAACTTCACAAAGAGGGAAAAGGGAGGACTAATTAGCTTTACCATTCCAGAGGCCTTTGTAAAAGATAACCTAAGAAAAATCTTTGTTTTTTTTTTCTCCTTTCTAGAATCAGAGTGAGTCTTTGCTGTTTTTCCTTTCCTACCTCTTACTCCAGGAAATGATTTGTCTCCAGCCAGTATCTTCAGAATGGACTGGAAGATTCATTCCCTCATCTAGAAATTCTGGTCTGATAACTAGGTCTCATTGGCACCTTTGAGGACAGCGGCCTTTCGTGCTGTCCCTTAGTTCACAGTGCTGCCTATGGGACCAGGACTTCTAGGGATCGAGTGCTGCTCCCCTAGAACGGTTGCCTCAGCTGTGGAGCGCCTCTGGGTCCCTCACATGATGGCCACCGTCATCCAGAACATTCCCCCAGGCTAAGCAGCTCGAGGGAGGAGTGAGGGGAGGACTCCCAGTCTCCAGGAGTCCGGAGCCCTCATTCTACCTGCTGGCCTGTGTTAGTCTGCCCTTCCCTCTAAAGAAAAGAAGGCAGAACTAGGACCGAGTGTGGTGGAATTCTGAGTCTTGATGGAAAGAATCAGGACAGTTGCAAATTCACCAGCAAAAGCGGTCATTTCCTTCCAGCCGGCCCAAAGGCCTGCCACCTCGGGCCCCAGGCTGCCACTTGCTGCCACTTCCCCTTCAGTCTTGCTGGCAAAGACGGTAGCGTGAGAGTACCTAGCCTGCAGGGGATGCTTCCATTGACCTGCAGAAATTATATATCTTCCCTCATGTTTACATTAATAAAATAAATTGCCATGCTCGATACTAGGAAGGAGCCTGGTCCAGAATGGGAGGCGGGATGGTAGTTCCCCTGGGCACCGCTCACTGATCTACTGAAATATGCCAGGTGCTTTGGAAGACTTTGGGATGGATGATCCACGGGAAGCCCTGTCCTTTTGTTAGGATCCAAGAGCCTGGAATGACCTTGTCTGCCGCAGAATGGAGCCCCCCCCCCCCTTTCCTTTCATCAAGCAGAGAAAGCTAGTTTCCAGGTGTAACAGCTCGTTCTACCTGCCAGCTCTCGCTGTGTTCTCTAGAATGTGGCATGAGGCCTTTGTCTCCTTTGCTCCTTCTGGGGTTGGATTTAGGGGTGGGGGGAAGGGTTTTGTAGGGAAGTATGGGGAGTCTAAGAGTGAGCACCACCTCACTGTGTTGGATGTTTGTGGGAATGGATTTCCCACCTCAGCAAGGTCTGAGGCATTTAACCCCACAGTCCTCTCCAAGGAAAGGACCTGAATTATCCAAGGTATTGAAGTCTGTTAATAAGGTAAAGCCAGGTTTGTTTTCCCTAACAGACATTTTGGTTCCAGTACCCTTGCTTCTTGCTTCCGGAGCCACGGCCAGCTTCACGGCTGCTGTCTGGAATCGGTGTAGTCACTCAGCGCCCCGTGCACAGAGGGACTCTGCCCGTGGTGCAGCTCTCTGCGGGCTCCATCTTGAAATGTGCAGTGAATTCTGGACAGCGAGTCTTGTGCTGGCATCTTGCGCTTGGCCGTCCTTGTTATTTAGCATGTGCTGTTCTGCCTAAAGTGCTAAAAACCTCTGGGTTCTCCAGTGAGAAGGGGAAACAGCAGGCTGTCTTCCTGACTCTGCCCATCCATAGGCTGTGGAGGGTGGTTATCTGCTGAATGCTAATGGGTCAAGGGAGGATATGGGGGCGGGGGGAATGGGGGCAGAGGAGGCCTTGCTCTGTGGAGTGTGCAGTAGAACAACGCAAGTTCACAGATGGAGCCCGAGTTAAACGCCAGTATCTGTGGATGAGAAGGAAACATGTCCACCTGGTGGCCAAGTCCACTTCTAGCCAAGGGGTCAGAAAAGGATAAAGAAAATTTTAAACCTGTATGGGATGTAGATTGCAGTATAGAAGCCTAGGAGATGATAACTATGGAAGGTCTGGTGCCATTCGGCTGCATTAGCAAGGGATGTTGGGAGATGAAGATGGAGACAGCTTGAGAGACCGCACTGCGGACCCCAGGGGCCCTTTGCTCCTTCTACCTAACTGCTTCCCTCATGATAGTGAGTTGTCTGTGACTGAATTGTATGTTTTTACATGTTTTACCTGCATGTATGTCTATCTGTGTTCTTAGTGCCTGTTGCAGCCAAAAGAGGGCTGTGATCCCCTGGAATTGGATTTACAGATGGTTGTGAACCACCACGTGGGTAGTAGGACTCTAACTGAGGTTCTCTGGAAGAAAAGCCAGTGCTTTTAGCCACTGACCCATCTCTCCAGCCCCTTACTCCTTGAGCTTAAACCAAAGTAACAAGGACTTCATGGAGGAATTCAATAAATGTTTGTTCAATGGATTATGAAGAGGATCTAAAATGTTATCCTGGGAACTGTTTAAGCCAGAGTGTAGTGGAGACCTTCGAAGGGTTTGGATGGGAGAGAGATTTTATTCAGTGTTAGAAGATGTCTCTGTAGTGACGGTGGAATGATGGATTAGAAGGAAGAGGCCCACAGAGGAAGGAAGCTGGAAGCCTCATAGGGTGCTCCTGCCTTCAAACCTTCACAACACCTAAAAAGATGAGAGATTGTGGGGAAGTAGGGAAAGGACAGTTGTACCTCAGAGAAGTAGACAAAAAAGAAAGTAGCAAATGACAGACACACCAGAGAGCAGGCACACAGCGGCTGGGGGCATGGAAGCAAAAAGAAAGGAATTGCGAGTCCCCTGAAAAAAGCTAGGGTGACGTGGGAGGACATAGATCACCTCATCTGCTTCAGAAGGCATCTAAATGCATCTCTGCCTTCTGGCAGACCTCAAAGAGCAACCCCCATAGAGAAGGTCCAAGCACAGACGTGATGTCCCTAACAGCTAAGTTGTGTGTGTGTATATATATAAATCCATCTTGGGGACTAGAGGGATGGCTCAGTGGGAAAGGGCACTTACCAACAAGCTGACAATCGGAGTTCAAGCCCCTGAATCCATATGGTAGAAAGAGACAACTCACGCCTGTAAATCGTCCTCTGATGGTCACGTCCTCTGATGGTCACGTCCTCTGATGGTCACGTCCTCTGATGCTGTAGCTTGCATGCCCACACACATCTTCACACAGACACAATGCAGATAAGAGTCTTGAGAGATGGCCCAATGGTTGAGAGCCCTTACCGGTCCTGGAGAACACCTGGATTAGGTCCCCAGCACAGTTCACAACCATCTATGAATCCGGTTCCAGGATATTCAGCGCCCTCTTCTGTCCTCCTCAGGCACAACATAGGCAAAACACTAATAAAAGCCAAACATTCTCTGGATCAGGCTGGCGTTGTCTTGACTCCGAGTTAGAGCGCCTCCTTAGCATGCTGAGGCCCTGGGTTCAGTCCTGAGCGTCTCACATGGAAAGGACCTGGACAGTTCATGTATATGTGCTTCTCCCTAGACTGAATGAGTCCCTTTGGCTGAGAGAGATGTTTGTCTGAACTAGGAGCTGGGGAGACGGAGGGTAAAAGTGCCTGCTGTTCAAGAATGAAGATTCCCCAAACCCACACAAGAAACCAGGCATGGCTGTTCGTATCTGTAATCCCAACTCTCAGAGGGTAGAGTTGTACAGATCCCAAGACCTGACCGATCATGAGCTCACATGTATCACACACACACACACACACACATACATACACACCACACACACGAAAGAGAGATCCACAGACACTCACATATACTAAACATTGCTCTCTGGTAGTAATGGGTGCTTGGTGTGAGTGGAGCCCTGGGCTCATTCCCAAGCCCATCAATAATAAACCTTCCCCGAAGGTTCTGATACATGACCATCGTTTGGATAAATGCATGACCAGTTTTAGGAATGATTTGGTCCGCCCCAGCCCTGGATGGCCCTATTCGCTGCAGGCTGGGTGGCCCTTGCTGACCTTAAAAGGCTGGCTGATGACTCCCTCTTCCCTCCACCCGGGTAGGGAGTGTAAGTCAGGCAGATAGGCAGCTGTTCCAGGCCCCCCTCCCAGCCAAACTGGGTGATCACATGAGCCAAATGCAATCATTCACAACCCTTGTCCGTACAGCTGGCACGTCACTTAACTAAATTACAGCACCCAGTGGCATTTCAACCCGAGGAATCGAAAAAAGCAATAAAGTGAGTTTTGCAGATTGTTGGGAAGGCAATGACGACCTTGAAACTGCAATCCACTAAGCATTGCTTTCAATTATTTTGCCTTCTCCCGCCATGACTTTCAAGTCACTACCAAGCAGCCTGGGGAAGCCAGAGGCAGCATTGTCATGTGGCAGGCACTTCATCTCTCCAGTGAGCACACCCACCCACCATGTGCTCCCGAGGTGGCTGGAGGCTCTAGCAGTGGCCTTGGACTGGGAGGGGATGAGATTGTCGTGAGTAAAAGTTCTTCCCATCTGGTCAGGCACCTGCTAATCACGCTCCCTCCACCCTGCCACAAAACCATGCATCTGGACTGGTCCAGCACAGCCTTCAGTGCAAGTCTTTCTTGCTTCCTTGCCCCTCGCTATGCCTCCAGCATTGACTGCTGCTCCCAGAAAACATAAAAGCACATTGAGAAGCAAAGCCTCCCCACATCTTTTTGGCTCATTCCTTTTCCGAGTTTATTTCCTTTTAGTCCTCGGGTTTGTACCTCAGGGCCAGCTGTTTCGAAGGGCTGTGGGCACAGCACACACCCTTCTTTCGAAAAACCCAGCAGCCTTGCGGTGGTGATGACCCAGTGGGACCCATCCATCTGAGAAAGGGGCAGATGCTTGAGAAAATGGGCAGCGGTCTGGAGACAGATTTCACTTGCCTGGAGCAATGTTAGCCAGCACGGTTATCAGAAGCAGAGCACCAGCTGCCTCAGCAGCCATGCCAGGGGGACAGCAAACACCAAAATCCTGTTGGCAGAGCCAGTAAGACCATTACAATGCGGCCAAAGCAAACAGAGGCTGAGACAGGCTTGCTGCAACGGACTCTCATTTCCCCTTGGATGTGGCAGAGGGAGAGGATGAGCCAGCTAAGCTCACGTGTCAGAACATCCAGTAGCCATAGGGTGCTTGCTGGCATCCATTCCCCAGGCCCTGGCATCCAGGCTAGGTTCCCACACCCTCCTTTCGGCTCAGCCCCAGATGGAAGAAAGGCTACTGAAGATGAAAGTGGTTCAGATTGTCTTGGTGTGCTCTTCCCAGCAGTCCTAGGAGCTTAGTATTCTTCCCATGCTACAGAGGTGGAAACTGAGGCTGGGGACAGCAAGAGCAGAGTCTTCAGTCAGGTTCTGACCCAGTGTGCACCGCTTTTCCTTTCTCCCCTACCCCAAATTCCGTATCCCAGAGTCCCTTCACAGGCAGAGCCCCCCACATTCTAAGAGGCAAGTCGCATTCTTTTTTTTTTTCTCTCTTCCCATTTAGTAGCTCAGAAGCAAAAGCACAGAACAGGGGCAGTTACTTAGCTTTCTACAGCAAACAGCCAATTGATAATCCCCCCATTTTGTCTCCCACACCCATCAACACAAATGGAATCCCGGGGAGGAAAAATATGCTTTCGTATGTATATTTATTTATTTGGATATTTCTTCAGTGTTTTCCTGCATTTAAATGTGAAAGATCTCAGGACCATTGGAGCCTGAGCATCATTTGTTTCGGTTTGGGCAGAGTCTGAATGGGTCCCTTATGGCCTGCAGCCCCTTCGACATCTCTAGAGTCCAATGTGCCCATGATAAGCTGTTGGTTGGAAATTTTTATATAGTAGCTATATTCATATCCAGTGAAAGGCTGCTTCCTATAGAAGGAAGAGGTATTGCTCCTTCTGGGTCTTCATTTTCTTAGTAGATTTTCTTTGTTTGTTTGTTTATTTATTTATTTTTCTTTTCTTTTTTCCCCCTAGACAGGGTCTCTCTGTGTAGCTTTGGACCCTGTTGTCCTGGAACTCGCTCTGTAAACCAAGTTGGCCTTGAACTCACAGAGATCCGACAGCTTTTGTCTCCGGAGTGCTGGGATTTAAGGAGTGCACCACTGCCGCCCGGCTCTTAGTAGACCTTCTAATTATTTGCTTCCAGAGAAAGGGCCAGAAAATTTCCTTCTCATAAGGAGCTCTGGACCGAGGACCATGTGGGTGGATTCCTTTTCCCCGTTTCTGCACGGGAGGATTAGAAGATAGTTTGCCGGGGCCCCTGTTAGGGAGAGGGAGGCCTGTGAGGGGCTGGACGTCCTGTAGAGAAGAATCGCTAAGGGAAGGCTCCTTCAGACCAATTTGCTCAGTTGGAATTTTAGTCCACGTCGTTTCGTCCTCACCTAAGCCGGGACTGCTGCTGCTAACGACGACGCAGGGCCTAGATCTGGGTAGCAGCTGTACCCGGACTCTGTGCTCAGGGTCCCTCGGTGAGTCCCTGGCGGCCCTCTGACTCCGCTCTTCCGGCCCAGCGCCGCGCAGGCCTGAAGGCTCCCAGCAAAGCCAGGCCTTCGCCCCAGCGGGGTGGGAGGAGAATCCTCCCCAGATGGGAAGGAGTAGAGCTTGGATTCGGGTGGAAATACTCAGGGCTGGGCCGAGTCGCCGGTTTCCAAACTCTTTTCTCTCCCATCTCTGCCTGATTCACTCTTGGCAAAGCCACCCAGAGTACGAATAGGCCGCCTTCAAGCACTACCCCCCCCCCCCAATCTCCCGCTCCCTTCAAGCATCTAATTGAACCTGGGATGCAGCACTGAAATAAACCAGTGTCTGTCTGCGGCGGCAAGAATGAATTTGGCGGT